AAAGAAAGAAAGAAAGAAAGAAAGAAAGAAAGAAAGAAAGAAAGAAAGAAAGAAAGAAAGAAAAAACGAAAACGAAACAAATGTCCTGCCTTGTCACTACCTGGGTCAATGCTAAATCCAGGAAAAAAAGAAATAAACCCAGAGGCCTGGTAGCTGGATCCCAGGGCTCTTCTCGATGCCCTTCTTGTCCCCATTTATTTCACAAATGTCAATTCCCCCTATTTTGTTCTAAAGAGTCATCCGTTGGCTCTCTGGGTGACCAGAGTATATTATTTGATGATAAGACTTGCTCACACATGAAGTAGTTCATTGAACTCACATGATTAATTTTTTTTTAGTATTTATTTATTTTCTGTAGTTTAGGGAAGGGTTTACAGGGTGTTCAGGGTCTCATTACTAGATTGGACTCATAGAGATTCTCCTGTTTACAGCCTCCCATGAGCTGGGATTGCAGGCGTGAGGGCCACCACGCCCAGTCTCAATTGCTGTCTCAGCGTGCCCCGGGGGCAGGGCCAGCACAGCAGGCCTGGGAATTGAAACCCCAACCCCTGAGCCTGCTTGCAGGCGCTTTAATCCACTGAGCTATTTGGCCGGCCCTTGATTAATTTTTTTAAAGTTCCTAACTACCACCCAGACATGACACAAAGTCAATCTGAGTTTTATATTTTTTAAAATATCCAGAGTGAGCATGGATAGATAGCATTCTAATAAATTTTTTAATGAGGTTCTTCATGAGAAGCCAACAGCAAATTCGGTTACTAGCTTTCATTGAGGTAGGTTTCATTTAGGACAGATACAGTTTTCATTTAGGAAAGACACGATTTTCCTTTAAGTGCTTAGTAGGAGACTACCTTTGAAAAGCAGGGGTAGGTGCAGTGACGTGAACCCTGCAGCAGCTGCTGGTATGCTGGGGTCGTCGCTGTCCTCGAGGCTCATTTAGAGGAAGGAAATGCATCGGAGCTGTGACTTAGCAGTTCTCTTGCCTGGCCCACAGCTAACTTATCTCTTATGAATGGAGCTTTAACTGGAAGGATAGAATTTATCTTCAACTTTTCTTTTGGTGGGGAATATCCTAAAACTTCATGTTTGTTTATGTTCATAGATCAAATAAACTCAATATACTCCTCACTAAGCAAAACAAGCAAGCATTTTAGAGAGCTTCCTTCTGTCTGTCTCTGAGAATGGCAGCACATTGTGGATAAGACTAAAAAGTATAACCCTCAGCAAGCAGAGGCTATGGTGAGAATCAGTACATAATCCAGGAGGCTGGTCATCTATAGAATGAACCTGTTTGTTTGTTTATTTATTTATTGCAGTACCGGGGATTGAACTTAGGACCTCACACTTGCCTAGCAAACACTCATTCTACTGAGCTATCTCCCCAGCTCTTGAACCTGTTTTAAAAATGTAAGTTCAGGCAGGGTACATTGGGGGAGTCTATATGAGGGCACTCTTGTATTTTCATTGTGGCAATGGCTACATAATTAAATTGATTAAAGTCTGTGCAACTCTAGAATTACACCAAAAATAAGTTTAAAAATACAAAATAAACATAACAATGTTATGCTCTGTACATCAATGTAGGAAGAGTAACTGAGGGTATTTGTGAAATGTCCAGCTATCTAGGTAGACATCAAGGTGACAGGGTCCTCTAACCAATTCATAGCTATGAAGTGTGCCCAATAATACACATATAAACTGGATTATAAGAAATGTATGGTATTAATTCTTGTTTAAACTGAAGGGAGGGCCGGGGATATGGCTCAATAGAATAAGTGCTTCCCTGGCAAGCGCAAGGGCCTGAGTTCAATCCTTGGTTCTGCCAAATAAATAAAAAATAAATAATCTGGGGGCTGGGGAGATGGCTCAGTAGGATAAATGCTTCCCTGGCAAGCGCAAGGACCTGAGTTCAATCCCCGGTTCCGCAAAAAAAAAAAAAAAAAAAATCTGAAGGGAGACTTGAAATATGGCAATTGTGTCTGTGTGTTTTCT